AAAAAAAAAAATAAAAAAAAAAAAAAAAAGAAAAAAAAATCAAGCTCAAATAGATACTTGGAAAATATAATTATCATTTGTTGATCTACTTTAATGCATCTTGAGAGTGTCTTGAAATTGTCAAGCCTCGAATGTCTCTAATTTGTATCTAACGCGTAATACGCGTATTATTAAGATGTGTTTACAAATTACCTCTAACAAGAAGATAAATAATGAACAAGAATAATAGAAAATAAACCAAGGAAATTAAGCGTTTTTTAATTGACGCGTTTAAATTCTACAATTCTATGTATGTCAAATATTCAAGAATTAAATCGCAGAAAAAGAAAAAAAAATCATTCGATTATACTTTTTCTATTCGTTTCCATATTGCGTGGAAATCAAAAATCAATGTTTTCGTATCTTTGTAAGAAAAAGAAGAAGAAGAAAAATCGCAAGAATATCCCGCAGCACAATTCCAACCGAGGTTGTAGTAAACACAAACGTTACACTGCAAAAGTTATTGCGGCGAAGTTTGCAAAACTCGATAAATTAAGGGAGAGTTACGTTAGATTGCTCCAAGGCCTTTAGAAATGTTTAATGGCCACGAATCTACGCGCGTACATGTGCATATGTCCGTTTCAAATACGGATCTGTTATGCGCGTGCGAGTATACACGCACTCGAAATTTTCAATCCTTGTATCGCAATCGAGCTGTGCATTGCCTTTTACTATCATTCTTACTCTCTTCTTTCATACTTTGATCGATCGATGATGAAAAACCATCCTTTCCTTTCTTTCTTCCTTTCTTTAGAAGAAACATTATTTTCTAGAAATAGAATTTTTCCACAGTTTAAAATTAATGGTAATAATATTTAATGTCAGAATTAGAATGTATTCGAGGTCAGGTATGACAAGTGCAATTGATATTAACCCGATCAGCTACATAGCTCGACAGTTTAGAGAAAGCGGTTAATGCATGGTCGCGTTTGATTTCTGATATGGTTTTCTTTTTTTTTTTTTTTTTTTTTTTTTTCTTCTTCACGTATCTAGAGCGTATCTGAAATTTGGTAATATATGATTTTGTAGATACCTGTATATGTAGATGTGATTTTAAGTCACGTTTATTACGCGAGAGATTTACTTTCAATTCATTAAAAAAGGAAAAGGAAAACAGGATTGTATAGAAAG